AGAGAGAGAGAGAGAGAGAGAGAAAATCACTATCCCTATATTTTAATTTCCTTTTAAGTACCTTTATTTAGCCGAATTGGTTTCCCAGCAAAGCCCTGTGCAAAGCCCATTCTTCACAAATTTCCCTTTATCATTTTTTATACCTGCGTGGATGGGCAATTGCCTCCTGTCCCAGATGTCAAGCAAGTCTTCCAATGGGGAGCCTACCTTAACCTTCGAAGTAGAGCATCCCATGTTCCCCTTCTGATGTAGGGGTTCACTTCGACCCTGCTGGATCCTGGCGATTTGAAGCCTCCTAGTGAGATTTCCACCTACCACCGCAGGTGGGTGGGGTGGGGCAGAAATCCCCCTCCTTCTCTTTCGGATGTAGTTTGCTTCTTGGGGATCTTTTCCAGGAAATTAAATGTAGAATAGAAAAGAAAGGATCGAATTCCTAACCCAGTTTCAAGCACGCTGTTCACAGTTGTGCCGGTTAATGCTTTTGGACTTCAATTGCTAGTAGTTTGGGCTGGTTGATGCAATACGGTCAGCCTTTCTCCTGTCGGGTTAGAAGCCTTTCCCCAAGCCGAACGAAATGGCCGCCGCCATTCCAGAATCGTTGGAGTACCCTTCTTTCTTCATCACCTCTCCGGGGCGACTTAGACCCATTTAGTGTCCCCAGGCAGGGTGAAATTAGCCATGCTGGTGCGGAGAATCCGCAAGCCCGCGACCAGTCGCTACCGCGCAAAACCAGAAGTCTCTATTCTGCCTTTTAAATATTTCCCAAAATATTTCTTTCTCTGGATTCTTCCCACAGAATCTTAAGGAGATTAAGACTGAGCTATTTTACGTACTGTGTAGATTTTGAATTCTTAACATCTAATAATATATAGGACAATGAACATTGACTACATTTTACTGTTCATTTGAAAATATACATCTGAGTGAACAGTTCCAGCTTGCCATGCATATTATTCATGGAAACAGCTCAATTTTACATAGTTCTTATTTGTTGATACACATCTGTGTTCCAGAAAGAGATGAAGGTTTGATCATATCCACTTTGCATTATAGATATAGTTGCTATGGTGACTTGTATTAATAACGGTGTATTGGTGATCTTGCACTGAGAGTAGAAGAAGGGTAAGAAGTCAAGAATCTATTTGTCACTGAGTGAGAGATTTTGCATGTGCAACCATTTCTAATGAAAACATTAGAAATGATTCAGCTGGAATAATAGTTACAGTTTTGCTTTGTATTCTGAAGTCTTGATATGGTTGTGCCTTATAATAACAAAAAGAACCAATGTGAATCAGCAGCTGTGTTATACAAACCACAAATGGATGAGGAAAAGTGCAAGGAAAGAGGAAATGAGAGAAGGAGCCCAGAACAGAAAGGAAGAAAAAAAAACTTAGATGAAAAAATGAGAACACAAGTCTACTGCCTATTAAAATGGCTCATTTTATCTTCAGGTTCTACCCTTTCACAAAGGGAACCTTCCCTTTACATTTCAGTGGTTAATGAGTTATAATTTGATCACAGAGTAATAGGATATGGACTTTTTCCTTTTCTCCCTCTAGTGGTAAGACTTAAAAAAATTGTGATGGCTGTATATATGACATTGTCCTTTTTTGCACTGATAATGGTGGTGGTTATTTTTTTTTCTTAGATGCAACAGAAGATTATTAAATGTTGAAGATGTTCTGACAAGTTTTGACAACACAGGAAATGTTTGTAAGTAAAGACTTTGGTTCTTGATTTCATTAATAAAATCTAGCATATATCTCAGTACAAAAATCTGTGCCAAGGTATTTTTTCAATGTGAATATCCCAGAAGAAAAACCTGAACTAAAATCAGACAAAGCAGAGAAAGTGCTAGTAAGAAATAAGGTATTGTGTGGAAGCCAGGCACTATAACAGGACTATAAAATCAAATTAAATATAAACCTATACAATTCTATACATGTAAAAATCTGCATGTCTTAAACAAAATATGGTAAAATTAATGTTTAGCACAAGTTATTTAAAAGTGAACACAAAGAAGGTATATAGTAAACTGAATGTTTTATCATTCTTTTTTTAAAAATATAGCAATAGCAAGCACAAGATGTAACAAATAATTTAATAAATACTTATATTGAATAGCTATGACTTTAATTGCATTTGTAACATTTTTCTTCCTTGTGTGATGATCTTAGTTGAAATATCTGCTTCACACGGAGCCTTGAAAACTGATTATAATATCACATATTTATATATTGCAATGTATTGCAAGAACAAGTTTGGGAAACAGGAGGAAGACCTGCAGCCTAGAAAATGATCTGTTAAACAAAATCTGAGTTGAAAAGAGGAATGGGGTTGGAGTAGGTATCTTAGAACAGGGCTTTTCAACCTTTTCACAGACTGTACCACCTTTAGGACATGACAATATTCAAGTACCACCAGTGGCTTAGCAAGGTGTCGAAAACTTAATGACCCCCCCCCCCAAAAAAAGGAAAACAGTGATAAAAGTACACCCACTTACCACACTTTTAATAGGAAACTTACGCCTGCTTCTCTGCCATTAATCTTTGCACTCGTGGCTGGAGAGTGCTTACTGACAGACTTAAGTCAGATTCCAGCTGAAGACAATTCCTTTCCTTAGTTTTTATACATGTTGATAAAGAAAATGCCTTCTCGCATAAGTATGTGGAACCAAATAGCAGTAAATCTGCGATAACTTTTCCCTCCACTTCCGGGTACAGTTTTGCAACTTGGCTCCAGAACTCGGTCAGTGTTTTTTCATTAAAAAGTTCGTTCAAATTGTGGTTTGATGTCAATTCCAGAAGTGCTTCTTGCTCTGGAGAGGAAAGGTCAGAGTTCACAACATTTTCCATGATGAAGGGTGATGCAAACCAGCAAATTCTAGTATCACATCCTCTTGACACAAATGGAAAATACAACGCAAACTCTGTGTGCAATTTTTCCAAATGATTTTTGATGGCAGTTTCAGTACCTTCAATGTCAACAATAGAATTTAGTTCAATAAAGTCTGACACATTGGGAAATGATGCAATATTTCCTTTTTTTTACTTGTCCTATCCACAGGGAGATTTTTTTTGTGGAAGGCACAAACTTTGTCTTCCATAACAAACATGTTATGACCGTGGCCTTGCAGCGACCGACTAAGTTCATTTAGCTTTTTAAATATGTCAGCCAATAGGCAAGGCAGGATACCCAGAAGATATTTTCAAACTTTTCTGCTAGGGGTGATGAAACATTTGTCAGGAACAGGTGTGTTTCATCTCGTAGCTTGAATAATCTCGATAATGTTTCACCTCTTGACAACCAACGTACTTCTTTATGAAAGAGAAGAGTGCTGTGCTCAGAATCCAAATCCTTGCATAATTGCCGGAATAAATATCCATTTTGATAAAATTTATTATTTTTGCAGCATCCTCCAAAGTCTCATGTAACACTGGGCTCATCCATTTAGAAGCAAGTGCATGTCTATGCAAGATGGAATGATTTGAAACAATGGAACTGTTCCTTGCCTTAGCTCATGCTATCACCCTCGAAGCTCTTCCTGTAATAGTTGCTGAACTGTCAGAACAAATTCCTACACACCAAGTCCATAATATTCCATATTTACTGAAACAAATGTTGATTATTGTGAATATTTCTTCCCCAGTCATTCTGCCAGGTAGTGGGTGGCAAAATAATATGTGTCCAGTATATCGTCTGAATCAGGAACACACACAAAGACAATTAATTGTGCTTCACCAGCGATGTCAGTGCTTTCATCCAATTGAAATGCAAATTTTTCTGCTGCTGTGATCTTTTCCACCACTTGTTGAATAACATCTGTGGCCATATCTTGTATTCGTCTTTGGACGGTGTTATCAGAACATGGAATATTACGAATAGCATCAGCCATTTTTCCATCAGAGAATTGAAGCAATTGCAATGGCAGAGGGAACCACGGCTTCTTCAACGATTGTGTGAGGCTTATTTCGTTTAGCTGCTATCAACATGTAAAAAACAAGAAAAAAGTTAAGGAAACGATTGGTCCATTAGTGGGTGAAAGTGGCAAGAAGGTGACAAGCAACAGGGAGAAAGCAGAACTATTTAACTCATTTTTCGCATCTGTCTTTACACAAAGGGAAAAAACAGACCAACCTATCAAAAACCCATAAAAAACAAAATAGAAATACAAGTTAAGATAGGTAAGAAAATGGTAAGTGAACACCTGTCCAGCCTAGACGAGTTCAAATCACCAGGACCAGATGGATTACACCCCAAGGTTTTTAAGGAACTGGCAGATGTCATCTCAGAACCACTGAACTATATTTTTCAGAGATCCTGGAGCACTGGGGAACTACCAGAGGACTGGAAAAGAGCTGATGTAGTTCCCATCTTCAAAAAAGGGGAAAAAAAGGACCCAGGAAATTACAGACCTATCAGCCTGACCTCAATACCTGGGAAGATTCTGGAAAAGATAATCAAACAACGAATCAGCGAACACCTACAGGCAAACAAAGTAATTACTAAAAGCCAACATGGGTTTGTCAAAAACAGATCATGCCAGACAAATCTTATTGCATTCTTTGACCAAGTGACAAAATTAGTGGACCAGAGGAATGCTGTGGATATAATTTACTTGGACTTCAGTAAGGCATTTGACAAAGTAGACCACAACCTACTACTTGATAAGATAGAAAAATGCAAGTTAGACAGCATCACCACCAGATGGATCCGTAGCTGGCTGACCGGCCGTACTCAGCGTGTGGTCCTCAATGGAACCGCATCTACATGGAGGGAAGTGTGTAGTGGGGTGCCCCAGGGCTCTGTTCTGGGCCCAGTGCTCTTCAACATCTTCATCAACGATCTGGATGAGGGGATAGATGGGGAACTCATCAAATTTGCAGACGACACCAAGCTGGCAGGAATAGCCAACACTCCAGAAGACAGGCTTAGGATACAGGAGGATCTGGACAGACTTGAAGACTGGGCGCTATCTAACAAAATGAAATTCAATGGTGAAAAAAGTAAGGTTCTACATTTAGGCAATAAAAACCAAATGTACAGGTATAGTATAGGGGGTACCTTGCTCAATAGTAGTAACTGTGAGAGGGATCTCGGAGTCCTAGTGGACAATCATTTAAATATGAGTCAGCAGTATGCTGCAGCTGCCAAAAAAGCCAACACAGTGCTAGGCTGCATTAACAGAGGGATAGAATCAAGATCACATGAAGTATTAATACCACTTTACAATGCCTTGGTAAGGCCACACTTGGAATACTGCATCCAGTTTTGGTCACCAGGATGTAAAAAAGATGTTGAGACTCTAGAAAGAGTACAGAGAAGAGCAACAAAGATGATTAGAGGACTGGAGGCTAAAACAGATAAGGAACGGTTGCTGGAATTGGGTATGTCTAGTTTAACAAAGAGAAGGACGAGGGGGGACATGATAGCAGTGTTCCAATATCTCAGGGGCTGCCACAAAGAAGAGGGAGTCAAGCTATTTTCCAAAGCGCCTGAAGGCAGGACAAGGAGCAACAGGTGGAAGCTAATCAAAGAGAGAAGCAACCTAGAACTAAGGAGAAACTTCCTGACGGTTAGAACAATTAACCAGTGGAACAACCTGCCTCCAGAAGCGGTGAATGCTCCAACACTGGAAGTTTTTAAGAAGAAACTGGACAGCTATTTGTCCAAAATGGTATAGGGTTTCCCGCCTGAGCAGGGGGTTGGACTCGATGACCTCCAAGGTCCCTTCCAACTTTATTATTATTATTATTATTATTATTATTATTATTATTATTATTATTATTATTATTATTATTATTATTATTATTATTATTATTATTAATTATTATTATTATTATTATTATTATTATTATTATTATTATTATTATTATTATTATTATTATTATTATTTATATTTAAAACAAGCAAGCTTAGCAAAATCATATTAAGTAAAGTACAGTTGCAAACTGCAAAATTAAGGATAGCACAGACTTTGGTTCAATACTTTTTCCATGAGGCCTGATTTAGTTCATCTGTGCGAAAACCTTGCATAGAACAATAGCCAATATTTTCATTTTCCACAAAGTGAATCATATAGTTGTTAAGCAAATTGGGCTTTCTTTACTTATCAGAAGCTGGGAAAGTCACAAATGGCAATTACATGACCCTGGGACACTACAGTTAACATAAGTACATGCCTAAATTTTCATCAAGGGACTCTGGAGATGGTGTGATGGTCATAAATGTGAGGTCTGATTGTATATCATCTTTTTCAGTGCTGATATAACTTTGAATGGTCACTAAACAGATGGTTAAAAGTTGAGAATTCCCTGTATTTTTTAAAAAAAACAACAAGTTGTATAACATATTAATAAATACATCATTTGAGGTACAGGTTGTCTTCGACTTACAACCACAGTTGGGACCAGAATTTTTGTTTCTTTAGTGAGTTGTTCCCAAGCCACTTTTTTCAGTACTGTTGTAAGTTGAATAGTTTCTAATTGAATGGCTGTAGGTCAAGGACTAGCTGCAAATTAATTTTACAGATTTATAACCTGTTCCAATCCCAGCAGAATCTGGCGTAGGATGTAGGATGCAAAAGCCAAATCTGGCATAGGAAGTAGGATGCAAGAATCTGGCATAGGAAGTAGGATGCAAAAGCCAAAAAAATATACCAAAAGCTCAGTGTAAATAGTTAAGGTAACATCATTAAAAGTCAGTATCCTGAGCATCCTTAAAACTAATCTAAGGACTGAATAAACACACTGGAAGGACTGAATAAACACACTGGAACAAAAGTGTCTTAATTTATAAAATGAAAGTAGGTTGAGACCATTCATTTCTCAGGGGTGGGGGGGGGAGAGAATATTCCATGAAATGCAGCTCATGACTAACAGACTTACTGGATCTTCATATTACCTCACAAGTATAAATAAATAAATATTTGATTCATTTTTTCAATCTGATTTAGAACTAAATATAATAACAAATAATTCCAATTTATTCATCAAATTAAATATTTTGACATAGCAGTTTGCATCCATTTGGCTTTCTAGGCCCATTTATTCAGATATTTCTTTTGACACATAATTAGCTTCCTTAAGTATCATTATTACATTAGAGAATCTACATATGTATAATACCAATTATCTCTGAGATCAAGATTAACAATGACTGCAGGCAAAGTAACACTGAATCTCAGTTTAATGTAGAAAATATAATTATCAAGAAAGGTTTTACTTCTCTTTCAATTTATTCATTTCTGATATTGTTTATTGTAGAAAGAGTATGCCATTCAGAGAGCCAATTACCCCTGTCACAATACAATCCTACTAAGACTTAGGTTTCCTTCAAGTTATTTCAGTATAGAGGAATATACAGTATATTAGAGGATTTGATTGTTGGAATATCCTGAAATATTCATTCAACTCTTATTCTCTGTTTTTTGCTATTGGTGTATCAGTGCATATTTTTGGTGTTGCTTTCAGATATTCCAACCCAATTACCTTATCTTTTCCTTAATAGTTCTCTATGCAGTTTCCCATCTGTTGAACTTTGGAAGAAACTTTAACACCCAGTACTTATTGCAGTTCCTCTTTCAGTAGATGTCATTGTCCTTTTTTTTTTTTTTAATTTTTTTATTGATTTTTCATTGAAAAACAAAAACATAAATCTTTTATCACAATATCAACCAAAAAAAGAATCAACACCAATCAATACATTCACGGACGTGTCCGGTGTACCCCTCCTGCACCACCCTCTCACTTGCCTACACCTTCCTCCTCCCATCCTACCTCCACTCCTCCTTCCTCCCTCTTTCCTACCTCCCTTTCTCCCTCAACCATCCCGTCAGTGCAGTTGGGGTATCACCGGGCACCTCCTTAAAAAAGAACCATACATATATATACATATAGATCTATAATACCAACCTACCCCTTTCCCCCCTCCCCCCCCAGGACTTCCCAAAGCTAATCTAGGAAATAAATGCATAAACATCCAATTCTAATCAAAACTACTCATTATTACTACACACTAGTACAAAATTGCTGTGACTCTAAAATAACATTAAATTACTCCAAAAAAAGAAAAAA